GTTTGTGTTGCGGGGCGGCGGGACTTAAGCAGTTTGTGGTGCACGGCATCCCGCCCAGCTTACTGAAGACACTAGTTGCCAGGAGCTGGACAAGATGCCAGTCAGAGCGCCCCACTCAGCGCCTGAGAACCAGTGACATCAATGAGCTGGATGGGATGCCGCCCTGAGAGTTAGGGGATGCTGAGAGCTCTTAGCAACCTCGGGCACTCTGGCTGGAAAGGGGGCGGCAAGTGACCCAATGGCTACCTCATTATAGGGACGGCCCTGAATGAAAGGGTTGGACCCACAAGTTTTATACTGTTGGTGTGGAGGGCCAACTAGCAAAGAGTCTGCCGGCTTGTATTTAGCGAAAAAAAAAAGAAGCTGATGGAGCAGATCTCTGCTTCATCAGCTTCTTTTTAGGGGGTCCTAGGTGACATTAGGGGTCTTGGAGACCCCTGATGTCTCCATAAAGAGGACCTGTCACATATTTTGCTATCATGCAGTGAGAGCAATAAGTCTAGGGCCATCAATCACTGATAGCACTAAACTGATGAGCGGTAAAAACGTTTAAAGCGTCGCCTATGGCTAATTTTGGTTGCGGTCGTTTTCTGCGATGTCGCGGGTGCGCGCAATTTTAAAGCTTGACATGTTTGGTATCTATTTAACCGACGTGACCCGATCTTTTATATTTGACCAAAAAACTGGGTAATAATAAATGTTTCCTAACATAATGTAAAAAAAAAAAACGTTTTTTTTTTCAAAATTTTCAGTAATTTTTCCTAATTATAATAAAAAATAAAAACCCCCAGTGGTGATTAAATACCACCAAAATAAAGCTCTATCTGTCCCCGAAAAATTGTGTAAAATTCATTTCAGTACAGCGTTGCATGACGGAATAAACGTCAGTCAAAGTATCACAGAGCTGAATACTGAAAAATGGCCTGGACAGGAAGGGGGTCTAAACACCTGGTCTTGAAGTGGTTAATAGTCCAGATTCATTTATTATTCAATGTAGCATTGAGGGGACAGTATAGAGATATCCACAGCATTTCAGGGGCTCATACAAATACCCCCTTCCTCAGGCCTTACTAAGGGAAAAACATGTATCAGGACTGTAATGGCTTGGAATTGGATACCGTTTTGTCCAGTGTATGAGAATGTGTATAGAGCTGATTTGGCTGCTCACACAAATGGCCCCTTCACCTGGCCTTATTAAGGGAGAACATGTATTAGGACTGTGATAGCTTTAAGGTGCCCATACACTGCACGATTATCGTACGATAATCGTATGCGATCGGCTTTTCGTACGATAATCGAGCAGTGTGAACGGAGACGTGCTACCGTTTCTACTGTACGGTCGCACGTCTTCTGTCGAACCAGCATGTTCGAAAACCAGCCGGGAATCGTACGATTCTCGGCTGGTTGGAACGGTGCTCGGAAGACAAATGCCGAACGGGCCGGTGTGCGCCCCCTCAGGGGGGCGGGCTTGCGATGATCGAGAGTGCGATCTGCCTGTCCAAGATAGGCAGATCGTACGTTTTTTTAATCCCTGTAAACCATCGCAAGACTAAAGTCTTGCGATGGTTGTAGAGTGTATGGCCACCTTAAAAATGGACATCCTTTTAACCAATGTGTGAGAATGCATAGAGCCAAATTAGCTGCTGAAGAGCTCTATGCAATTCACACTCTGGACATTGGATCCAATTTCAAGAAATCACAGTCATGATACCTGTTGTCCGTTATTAAGCCCTGACGATGGGGGTATTTGTGTGAGCAGCCAAATCAGCTGCTGAAGAGCTCTATACATTCATACACACTGGACAAAATTGTATCCAATTTCAAGCCATCATGGTGCAGCCAGGACAGTGAAGACTAGCGCCACTGGATGTAAACAAATACTATGAGCCGCTGCCTTCAGATTGAGTAAAGCGTGCATCTGTGGAGAGGAGGGTGGGTTTGGATAGATAAGTATAAAGTGGCAAAAAGGATCAGGGCACTTATTTTAAAGTACACTTTGAATATACCATTAAGAAGTGTTTTGTCATATTAATATATAGCAATATAATACAGGCAGTCTCCAAATTACAAACATCCGACTTACATACCACCCCTACTTACAAATGGAGGCTATTACTGTACAGCAGGGGGTCCCAGGCTGTATCCAAAGTGTACCGCTCAGCATTTCAGTAGTTGTAATGCTACTGCGCTCCTGCTGACGAGGAGTGCCCACCTTTTTGGGTCTGGTTCATAGTACTGTATGTACATTACAGGAAGTTGGCTCTTGTTAAGGTGCCCATACACTGTACGATTCTCGTACGAGAATCGCGGGAAATCCCACGATGGTACGAGAATCGTACAGTGTATGGAAGGCGTGCAACCGTTTCTACTGTACGGTCGCACGTCTTCTGTCGAACCAGCAGGCTTGAAAACCCGCCGAAAATCATACGATTCTCGGCGGGTTAGTGGCCTGCTTGTTCGACAACTGCCGAACGGGCCAGTGTGCGCACGCGCACACTGCCCGTTCGCAGTGATCGGAAGCCCGCCCCTCACTGCGGTCATCGGAAGCCCGCCCCTCGGCGGGGCGGGCTTTCGATGATCGCAAGTACGATCTGCCCGTCCAAGATGGGCAGATCGTACAAGCTTTCAATGAGCTTACGACCATCGCAAGACAAAGGTCTTGCGATGGTCGTAAGGTGTATGGGCACCTTTAGACGTGCAGACGAGGGGTGCCCGCCTCTTCTTCTGGGTCACTGTGAGGTTTTTACTGCTGTCTGTATCCTCATTAGAAAGATTTAATCTCACTTCGTGTCCTTGCGACAACAGGAATTGAGAGGAAATTACCCCTAGGAAGGGAAATTCACTCCTATAAGAGTGATCATGGGAAAAAGGTGCCTCCACTGAAACTTCAATACCAATCCTTGTTTCCACGACAACCCAACATTTTCAAAATCCACAGGGACAGAAAGTGAGGTGAAAAACAGGGGTACACACAGCAAAACAAATTTTACAGGTGGTAAACCCTTCCCTATGCTATCCAAAACAAAGTAAAAAAAATTTTGGCTGGAGTTACACTTAACAAATTTACCTGTTCCAACTTACATACAAATTCAACTTAAGAACCAACCTACAGTCCCTATCTTGTCTGTAACCCGGGGACTGCCTGTATATATCTATATATATATATATCCTATGCATACTTCCTGTGTTATCTCAAATAAGCTATTTGGCTCTCCTTATCCTTTATCATTGCCATTATCATCAAAATGATCAGCCTTCATGTGGTTGAGTAGTTTAGCAAAAAAAACTGGGCAGAGCTGACACCACTCCTCGGTCCACTAAAATACTGTGTGTTGTCAGCCCACAACAGGACAAAGCTGAGTGTTTTTTGCACGGAAGCGATTTCTATGTCTTTGTCACGCCCTGTGATAACATATGACATATGATAAAATCCGTGGGCCGATCGTCTGCTTCCATTTGTGTTCACCGTGGAGGCCGCCGTTTGTCTAGAACCTCACAGAGTGTTGTGTAAGGTATTTTGCCAGCCCTGCAGAATTTCTGACAATTTCCTTTCACTGGCGCCTGTTTCCACAACGTGGAGTGACTTTATTTTCTACTTTCAATCTCAGCGTTATTTCCACAACGTGAAGAAACTTCTAGTCAAATGAGCTTTCGGTGAAAAATCCAACCGGGGAGGCCTTGCTTTGGTTACATATCTTCATAACAGTGTTTCCTACTTTCTGATCTGGGGCTATCGGAACATTTTTTAGCGCAGTTTTTGGAGAAATGCGTCCACTCTTGTATGGACTAGGCACTTATTTCTTAAAGGGTAATTCCACTTTCTCATTGGAATTTGGGGAAATGGAATTACCCCCACCATTCTGCCTCCCTCCCTCCCCCCTTCCCCCCCACCTGCTGTTCTTTCCTGTCAACGAACGCTCCTTCCCCAGTGTAACGAGCACATATTGGTCAGTTCGGTCGCCTGACCATGCTGACCAATGAGAAGCACTTCTGACCACGATGACCAATGACAAGTACTTCTGACCACGCTGACCAATGAGAAGCGATTCTTAGCAAGAAGCACTTCTCATTGGTCAGCATGGTCAGTTGACCACACTGATCAATGAGTGATTTAAAAACATAGACCAGGGCTGCACTGCTGTGTATGGTGTATGGGTCATACACCAGCAACTGTAGAGGGGAAGGAGCATTGGCTGACAGGTGAGAGGGGGTAGATTGGTGGGGGGAATTCCATTTTCCCAAATGCGCCTGGAATTACCCTTTAAGGGCTTATACACATGTAATACCAGTGTATCCCCCCTCCCATAGAAGTCAATGGCTGTACATGGGTATACAAATCAGGATCGTGGTTCAGGTGAGTATATCTCTGTTATTTGAACTCCCTAGACAAAACGAGCACTTAACCCTTGCAGTGCAAGCAGGACCAGATTTACTCTCTCTGCTGTCCCAAGGCTAGGTTCCTCAATGTGCCTCAACCTGTCTGTCTATCTCCCACCTTGACTCCCTTTAGGCGATCCCTAAAGACTCATCTCTTCAGGGAAACCTATCCCTCCTCAAAAACAAGCGGTGGCTTCCCAGCTGTATATTTAGCTCTGCTTGCCCAAATCAGGGCTTAATGTAAAAAACAATTATCCGCCCGGTGCCCGGAATTCCACACCCCTACTGCTGCCTCTTCTCCCTGCTGCCCTAAAGCCGGGCCTTGGTTGGCTTTGTGGGAAATCCGGCCCTAAGTTCAGGGTAGTCCCACTGCACGGGTAAAGATTTTGTGTGCCCGGAGTTCTTCTTTAATATCACTTTAAATGCAATCCGAGGAAATGTTTGCTTCTTCCCACGTTGATCTTCTGTGTTTTCTGAGTTCTTCTAAAAAGTATTTGTTGTCTTTTTTTGGGGCTTTTGCAGGTGAGAAAATCGAGAAGGCGTGCACATCACACAATTCTGCATCAACATGCATAGAATGTGGAGAAGGTTATTTTAATCCTGCATACTATAGAGCCGGCTGCTTTACCTGCAGAATATGTGACACAGGTAAGCTGTGAATTGTATCGCTTTGCCATGTCTGGTATTGTACGATGGGCAGTGTTTACTTCCGTGGCCTCTTGAATGGATGATGTGGATGTGGTGGCGGAGCTACTCAGCTGCACCAAATTTTAAAAAATACAGTACGCTGCAGGGAGAAGAACCCCATTATTCTGGTGGAAGGTTGGGGGGTTGAGGCTGGAAGGCTGGGAAATGTGACCATGTTACACCCTAATTATGGCAGTAATCTAAAACATGGTTACACAGATGGAATGAGCCTTTAAGGCCCCATTCGCGCCTAATATGTTTAGGTGCAATTAGAGAAGCAGTGACTACTTTACAACACACACATGGACAGTGGGGAACAAAAGTAGCCCCCCTCCAGAAGGAAGAACAGTGTCAGCACCAATTCAGAGATGATTTGAGGATCTACAGCCGAGTGACACACAAATAAGATACATTTTTGTTAATAGTTAAGGTACTTGGATGTCCTGATTCATGTTTTCCTCTAGTAAGCCTTGATCAAGGGGGTATTTGTAGGAGCCCCTGAAACACGTTGGATATTTCTATACTGTCCACTCAACCCTACATTGATTAAAGCTGTATCTGTACTATTACAGAGTTTGCACTTCAATTCACAATCCTGCAATTTGACACTATAAACCAAGGAGAGAGTGGAGAACCTCTGGAACGTAGAAGCTGCTTGTCCGGTAGTCAGATCACCAATATCGACTCCTGCACATCCTAATTGGCCAACCGCACCAATAGGATAAATCTTGCAGGTCCAGCGTTTATATTACAGATTTTCTCCAGTATGCAATAGAGAAAAGTCAGGTCACCGATCTGGTCGTGCTGGCAGGTCTGTGTAAGTCTCAGGCTTGGATGGACAGAAGTATAAATCATTTGGCAGATAAAACAGTTCCCTTCTATGCAGTGGCGTAACAATCGCCATAGCGACCCAGCTGCTGTGAAGGAAAATGTTCCCCCTCACAGCCGCTGCAGAGCTGTGTCAGTGACAGCCAGCAGATGCGGCAGAATAGGCCGGTTACACCGGTGTTCTACCGATAGTCCAAACTTATCGAGTTGTGGGACCGCATGAATTCCGGTCCCAGAACTCCATAAGTTCGAACTTTCGATCGATCACTGGCATTTGCAGTAAAGAAGGAGGCGGGGCCTGGTTAACAGCAACCCCGCCTCCTCTCACATCACTGGCCAGCGATCTAAGAGCAGGTGGGGCCAGTGATGTAAGAGGAGGCGGGGCCCGTCGATAGAAGGAGGCGGAACCCGGGAACGGAAGAGGAGGCAGGGGCCCGGCGGCGGCGACCACGGAGGTGACAGGTTAGAAGCGTACAGCGCAACTGAGACCTTGCAGAGCCCACCATAGAGAGTCTATGGTGGGCTCTGCAAGTGGCATAACTAGCAATCACAGCCTGTGGCTGTCAGAGTCTTGCAGTGGCTCATGGGACATGTAGTTTAACAACAGCTGTAGTGCCAAGTTTGCTCGCCCCTGGTCTATTTAGTTGTTTGCTTGGAGTTCATGTTTAAATGCAGACCTGGGGCCAGGCCGTGCTTATGTCCGATGGTAGGTTGGAATGGGATAAGTACAGAATACAACATTGCTTTAGCCCTTTAACACTTCCAAGGTGTGCTCATAAAAATGGGGGTCAGCAAATGTCAGTTTTGGTACAAAAGATATAAAATAAATGTTCTTCTGACTCCTCAGCTGATGGAAGCATTGAAGTAAGGCCGTGCACCAAAAGCTCTGATGCCGCCTGTACCTGTCCTGCGGGAAGCGAGCCTAGAAATGAAAGGAATACAGCCTGTCGCTGCCACCCCGGAAAAGAGATTGTAAATAACAGTGAGTTCTATATTGTCCTAACAAAGTCAATGTTATGTCTTCCTGCTGCGTTAAGTTTCTGCTTTTTTGTTGTATTTGGAATTGTTTTCCTTTTAAGTGTATATAGAAGGCAACACTTTTTCTTTTTGCATACAGACTTTTCTTTTTGCATACATGTGTTCATAATATATATTTAAAGGAGAACTATGAGGGGAGTGCTTTTCACTCACCTCATAGTTTTAGCCGACCTGTGACAATGAGACTGTCACAGGTCGGCTCAGTAGATCGAGAAGTGAGCTAACACATACCGGCGTTCGCTCACTTCTTAATCCTGTCGCGGTATACTGAGCTTAGGGTGACGGGAGGACGCTAGTTTGTGTCCTCCCGTTACCCTAAGGAGAACTATGGGGAAAAGCCCTGACCCCATAGTTCTCCTTTAATTATTGAGGTGAAAAAAATCAATCCTCTCTGGGTGATCTGTGTACATTACAAGGAATTTAACGAAGGTTATTACAGATTCCTACTTGTTTCTGTTGTGAAGTAATAGCTGATTGTTGCAGCATGTCCTTTCCACACTGATCCCTGAACGAGGGTCTGGGTTCATTATAATCAGCTGCTGGACTTTCTGTGTTGCAATGAGGAAAGGTGCAGTGTCAACATCCCTTTAGTAGTGATTAACCCTTTGGGAATATCTCCCCAAAATGAAGGTCCTATTGCAAGAGATGCCAAAAATTGTATCTTGGTGCAGACTTCTGGGAAAATCAGTCAGTCAATCACAGAAGCAGGAAGTGACATTTCTGGGGGTGTTCTGTATACCAACTGTGTATGGAATGCCTCCAGGTCACCATATTGCATTGAATTTTTTGACAGATTTAAAACATTACAGCAGCTGCAGTTTTAAATGGTCAGATAATTTTTAAGAACATTAAATCACAATTTTTTTTTTTAATAGATTTAAAATGGAGTTGCTCCTTAAATCTACTATTAAATGCACTTTTGGTTCTAGGGTGACAACGCTCACTCCACTGCTCTGTATCTATGGAGGAGCAGTGTTGACATGCTAGAACATGAGAACTGTAGAACTGTACAACTCCAACCCCTCTCCTAGTCTCCACAACATGGGGAGGGTGGTGTTCTGTAGTCCACGGAAATAGCTGAGAAAAATGCTGACTGATAACAGTGCAGCATATCCAGGGAGCACAGGAAGTTATCAGTAGATAGATATAATAAAATGCGTTCAATGGTGTATTTAATAAACCAAGAAGAGAACAAATAGGAGAAATGTATTATACCGACAGTGTAATGTGATTGGATACATGAGCAGAGGCCAACGAGTGCTCTGATTGCATGCCGTATAGTGATTTCCAGCAGGGGGCATGAAGAGCAGTTTGGGGGCTGTGCCTTAGTGGCGCCCTGTAGTGGCAAAAAGGAAAAAGATCAATGTAACTTCTTGAACACAGTTCTCAGTCTTTGCCTGGAGTCTGTAACAGTCCCTAGATCAGGGGGAGGTAACCTTGGTATTCCAGCTGTTGTGGAACTACAAGCCCCATGAGGCATTGCAAGACTCTGAAAGCCACAGGCATGACTCCCAGAGGCAGAGACGGGTTTTGTAGTTTCAGCACAGCTGGAGTGCCAAGGTTGCCTACGACCACCCTAGACGTTAGGATATGATATAACAAGTCCTTCTAGAAATTACCACAGATGTCTCTTTATTGCAGAATGCCAGCCCTGTGCCTATGGACATTTCTCATTTAAGGAAAACAGCAAGTGCCTCCCTTGGACCAAGTAAGCAAAGGAATTGTTATTTTTAAAAATACTGCAATAAATACAGAAACTGTTTATTTATATGACAATCTCCAGAAGTACTCATAATCATAGGAAAGGGATCTCCAAAAATAACTGTCCATAGAGAATAATGAAGGTTGGCATGGATGATCTCCTCTTCTGAGAATGCTGGTTGCCTGGCAGTCATGTTGATTCTTCTGTTTCAGTATTGGGGGCTCATTCACATCAGAAAGGTGCAGTAAAAGAAAGATGCGGGCTTGAGTTTTACTGCATTAAGGTGCACAGCAAGCCCAGTGGAATGAGCTGCCTTAAAGTGACATGAGAAGATAATGTAGGGTGCCCTTGCTGATCTCTTGTTTCTTTCTTCGACTTTCTGAGTCTCTGGCAGGGAAAAAGTATACCTTCCTGGCACTCATGTCCATGCTTGGTCCGAGTCTGTCGTTCAAAAGTATTAAAGCCAGACACATCCAGGCAACCAGCATTTTCAGAAAGAGGCCAGCAAGGGTAGCCCCTGTGCCATTCTTATGACAGAGTCACTTTAACACAGCCTGTCTTAAAGAGAAACTGTCACCCTGACCATGTAGGACAAAGTGACAGGTACTCTGCAAAGGCCCGATCCCCTCACACTCACCTCACCATACCATGCCAAACCCTAAATGAATCATAATAAATTAATCACTTTAACAAACCCCCATAATATACCTTTAAATAAGACCCTCATAATTCATTAGGCGGCTGTCCAGTCACACTAAGAGATTGATTTATAAATTGGCACCTTGTCATACACTAGGTGAATGGCGTTCACACACCATTCTCACCACTAGATGGAGCCGAGGAGCATTTCTAGTTGCGGGAATGCTATGTGAAGGGCGCTCGCCCAGCGTATGGCCGGGTGAAATTCATAAATCATCCCCTAAGTGTGACTTTTTTACTCCACCTGTTATCTTCTGTACGGTTGTTTCCGCTCTGTGACTCCGGAGACGTATTCAAGCCGTTTTAGATAAAGTAGGTGTGGTGAATGCCAAACCTGTCAGAAAGGTGCCACCTCCCCAATATACAGACATTTGATCCCAATCTTTTTGGGGCTTGGTTGCACTTCTCCACTTTATAAGAATAATAATATTGGGAATTGCATTGGTTGATCTGTGCTGCATCCCAACCTTTCTATTTTAATATTGACAGAAGACTAGGGACCGCTTGATCTCGGATGAAGGGTGGATTTGCTGAGCCCCAAATACGCATTGGCTGTCTTTTTATGAGTTTTGCACTACGATTAAACCTTTGCTGGACCTGTCATACATATGTGGCGCTCTTACTCATTTGCACTTTTTTGGGGGATTTTAAGACACGCATAGGTTGTCATCATCATTGAGAATCATTTTATTCCAAACGTTAAAATATCAGATTGTTTACATACACAGTTCCTTACTCCCTTACAGCCCCACCCCCATCATGTCATTAATATTATCATGCTTTACATTTCACATATGTAAGTAGGGGAGGCAGTAAAAGAGAGCCCATTGCGTTTCGTGGGCAAGCTCACTTCTTCAGGGACATGATGGATATCTATGGAATACAAATATGATCTGTTAAAGGAGAACTATGGGGTTAGGGCTTTTCCCCATAGTTCTCCTTAGGGTAACGGGAGGACACAAACTAGCGTCCTCCCGTTACCCTAAGCTCAGTATACCGCGAGCGATAGCTCGTGGTATACTGAGACGCCGCAGCTGAAACGGATCCCGACAATTATGTCTGGATCCGCCCAGCTGCGTGAGTGACAGCTGGCTCTGCCTATCTAGAGGCAGAGCCAGGTGTACCCGCCCCCTCCCCCGTCCGTTCCGCCTGTCAGCGCTGGAGGATCGGAGCAGGGAGGGGGGAATCCAGCCCCTCCCCTGTCACGGCAGAGAGCTGTGAAAGGATCGAGAAGTGAGCGAACGCCGGTATGTGTTCCCTCACCTCCCGATCTACTGAGCCGACCTGTGACAGTCTCATTGTCACAGGTCGGCTAGAACTATGAGGATAAGTGAAAAGCACTCACCTCATAGTTTTCCTTTAACATTCACAACATATCAACATTTTATGCACCATACATTTCTGAATTGGGAAAGCTGGTCGGATGACCAGTGAAACGTCTTCAAGAAAAATACAGCAAGTCCAGTTGCCTTGACTTATTTTTTACGGATATACCATGACCTGGATGAATGAGAACCGTGACAGACATACATTTCTGGGTTACGTGAACATTCTCAACAGACTTCCTAATTAAATAAAACAATCAATAGGCTTTATGCGCCATCATGTGACTTCTTTAATTCAGGCCAAACACAACCAGGGACGTAGGAAGTTGCCTTATCGAGAGGTCAGCAATGACACCCCGGTAGCCCAGATATTGCTCTTATGTCATTTATAAACAGCGTGCTCCTTTCCTTGTGTTGTGTGGGCTATCCCTTTAATAGCATATGCTTGTTCACTCAGGTCTCAAGTGATAAAATATGTGAACCCCCTGCTGATCCCCATCCTGTTCCCTTGAATTGTTTCTGAACTTTTGCCCTTTTTTCAGTTGCAGTGCTATAGGTCTGACAGTGCTTGAAGCAGGATCTGCCACAAAGGATGTTCAATGTTCCGCTCCAAAGAGCACCACCGCTTGGGTTCTACCCACATCTGTGGCCCCAACGCCTCCCCAACGAGAAAGAACGCAGAGGAAAGATGAGACGTCTACTCTGGAGAACTCTGTGACGTCCACCAAACAATCCATACCACGCAATGCCATGAACTGGGGTAAGGGTCAGAACTTGGTGGGGAAAGTTATAAAGACAGGTGCCTAGCATGACAATTGAGAGAGGCTTGGGATATGACTATGGCATAACTCCCAACTGATCCCTATTTAAAGGAACTGTCCCTCTTATGTAGCCAAATCCCTCTGTCCATCCTTCTTCATCAGTTGTCCTCTTTTGGGTGTGATGTATAAACCTCTATGCAAAATTTACTATTAGTGCAGCTGAAGCCAAAACTTTTGTTTTTTTTCCGTTTTGGTTAGAGTGGAGAGGGATTAGAAGCAGTGGCGTCACAAGGGGGGTGCGACCCGCACCCGGGTGACACCATTGGAGGGGTGACACCAAAATGACTCAGAGTCATTTTGGTGTCACCCCCCTCTGAAAAGTCGGGCGCTCGGTCATGGACTGAACGCCCGACAATATCAGGAGAGAGGAGGGGACCCGGCGGCATACCTTATCCCACTGTGTGACTGTCCCCTCCTCTCTCTGCCGGCACCCATCACCAAGATGGCCACCGGCAGGTATCAGAATACTGCCACGCGTGCGCGATGACGTAATCGCGCACGCGCGTGGTGATGTCATGTGCATGCGCAGTGACGTCTCGGCGGGGTGACACTCAGTTACTGCTCCGGGTGTCACCCAGCCTCGGGACACCCCTGATTAGAAGCCCTATCGTGTTTTTCTTGCTTTGTCCCTGTTAGGTAGATTCACCCTCACTATTTGTCCTGGTGACCATTATCACTGAAAGAGAAAGAAAATCCTAAATATTGAGTAGTCACCAGAACAGGAATAGATGGGCAATCTTCCAATGGAGACATCAGTTCTGGTGACCACCAAGCATTTCACTCACTTTAAAGGGATTTCCTCACACTTCCTGTTGCGGCTGTGGGACAGGAAGTGAAGGCAAATCTTCCCAATTGGACACAGTTGGCAAAAAAAAAGCTGACAGGGGTTATAACCCCCCCCAAAAAAAAGACTCCCCCCCCCCCCCCCTCCTTTACTCTATTTGAAAGTTTAAAGGAAAATGTTTTGACTTCACTTCTACTTTAACAACCACAAGTGTAATACTTCACTAAACCTTAATCCAGCTTCTAGATGATGGCATATGATTTTTGGAGAGTTAGTATAAAGGAAATGAAGTGGTAAAAAGCACTTGTAGTGATGACCGGGATTTCTGTGCTCTCCCTGTGTGCCAAAATTAGAGGTAAAAACTAGAAATATGCATTTCTATATTGAAGTTCTATCCCACTCCTAATAGCCATATTGATCTGGACATTTGTAAACTTAATGAAGATGCCCCCATAGGATGGACTTCCTCAATACACTGACACAATATCACTCAGCACCCTGAATATGAACTTCTTGGTGTCACCACTTTCACAGAACATGTCTGAACCAAAACTCAACATCTGAACAATGTAACATTATCATTGCTTGCTGGAAGCAATGCATGATGGGATATGTAGTCTTGAGAAATGGAGATTGCATCACATCAAGCAGCAGGGAAAGAGACGCAAAGCACACTGGGAATCCAGGAAGTTGATGAAAGTAATGGGCAGACAGAAGGCGGCACTCACTACATAAAAGGGATTATTCCCAGTAAGCTTTGATTGTATTATCAGACACATCTCCAGTATGTATTCCTATTACAATGCTGAGGTGATAACAGGAGAGGATATGGTGGGACTTTACAAATCTTATCTCTACTATGTGTGTCACGTCCTCTTTTTCCATTATAGATACCGTCACGTTAATTCTCATCACTGTCACCCTGCTGATGGCGATGGCTGGAATCATACTGGCGGTGATCATACAGACAAAGAAGAGGAAAAGAAACAGAGGATTCATCCGTAAGTATTGTAGAGAGTGATGTACGTCCGTGTCTTGTGTCTTCCAGACGATGATGAACATGTTTTGTTACACGGAAAGTAGAAATTGATCCATTAGATATGGCTGTGAGTGTGCTCCGTGCTTCCAGGGATTCATATGGCTGTGAGTGCTCTGTGCTACCAGGGATTCATATGGCTGTGAGTGCTCCGTGCTTCCAGGGATTCATATGGCTGTGAGTGTGCTCTGTGCTTCCAGGGATTCATATGGCTGTGAGTGCTCTGTGCTTCCAGGGATTCATATGGCTGTGAGTGCTCCGTGCTACCAGGGATTCATATGGCTGTGAGTGCTCCGTGCTACCAGGGATTCATATGGCTGTGAGTGCTCCGTGCTACTAGGGATTCATATGGCTGTGAGTGTGCTCCGTGCTTCCAGGGATTCATACGGCTGTGAATGTTCCGTGCTTCCAGGGAATCATATGGATGCGAATATTCCGTGCTTCCAGGGATTCATATGGCTGTGAGTGTGCGCCGTGCTTCCAGGGGTTCATATGGCTGTGAATGTTCCGTGCTTCCAGGGATTCATATGGCTGTGAATGTTCCATGCTTCAAGGGATTCATATGGCTGTGAATGTTCCGTGCTTCGAGGGATTCATATGGCTGTGAGTGCTCCGTGCTACCAGGGATTCATATGGCTGTGAGTGCTCCGTGCTACTAGGGATTCATATGGCTGTGAGTGTGCTCCGTGCTTCCAGGGATTCATACGGCTGTGAATGTTCCGTGCTTCCAGGGAATCATATGGATGCGAATATTCCGTGCTTCCAGGGATTCATATGGCTGTGAGTGTGCGCCGTGCTTCCAGGGGTTCATATGGCTGTGAATGTTCCGTGCTTCCAGGGATTCATATGGCTGTGAATGTTCCATGCTTCAAGGGATTCATATGGCTGTGAATGTTCCGTGCTTCGAGGGATTCATATGGCTGTGAGTGCTCCGTGCTTCCAGGGATTCATATGGCTGGGAGTGTGCTGTGCTTCCAGGGATTCATATGTCTGTGAGTGCTCAATGCTTCCAGGGATTCATATGGCTGTGAGTGTGCTCTGTGCTTTTCCAGAGATTCATATGGCTGTGAATGTTCCGTGCTTCCAGGGATTCATATGGCTGTGAATGTTCCGTGCTTCCAGGGACACTATCATCATTCTGATAAAGGCCGACTCCATTGCATTCTGTACAGAACAGGGAACAGGTCCGAGCCACTGCCTGATTTCTGTGTTGGAGACATTTCCCCTCGCTCAGGATAGGAAGTGATGGATTTTACTTGTCACAGACAAAAACAAACAATCCATTGAAGCAGAGTGATGAAGGGTCAGACCCTGCAGAGATTTTTACAGGATAAAACATGGGGAGTCCTGAATATTTTTCTCCCCAGACATACACTTTAAGGCCCGGTTCACACTCTGGCATTCTGTGGACGTGCGCCAACTGATCGTCATGCACACGCATTGGCACACCTTCATGCAATGCACAAAGATTATGGCGGCATTACTCATGTCACTTATGGTGGCATTACTCATGTCAATGCCACTTATGGCGGCATTACTCATGTATGACACCACGAACACAGCCAGGAAAACGCACATTTTTTGCCCACACATGGATACATGTCAACATACGAGGGATACAGGATCCCAACCTGAAAGAAGCAATTTCAGGGAGGTGTCCCTCTCATTTCAGGGAGGTGCCCTCTCAGGGGCACCCCCCTGAAAGGATGGCAGATAGCACAGGAAGCAATAGCTTCTTTGCTATCTGCTGTTTTTTTTTAGTATTCTGACAGCTGCTGCCGTCAGAATAATATTTTTTTTTTAAAACAGCATAGGAATGAATAGCTAGATTGCTATTGGCTGTTTCAATCTGCAATATCCAATAGAAAGCTGGCTATTGCCTCTGCCCTCTGCTGCTGTCAATCACTAGAAGTCACTAGAAGATGACCTGATGGAGATCTTCAGGTCTACCTCTGCTGATTGACAGCAGCAGTGGGCGGGTGAATGACAGCAGCAGTGGGCGGGTGCATTAGCTAGTTTGCACAATAGCCAATAAGAATCTAGCTATGCATTCGTATGCCTTTTTTTTTTTTTTTTTTTCCTGACTGTTTTTTCTGACGGTCGGGCCGCAGGCTCCCGATGTCAGAAAAAAAAAAAACATCGCAGGGATCGAGCATATTAAACCTTTCCGGGATGAAGTGTTTCTCTCCCGGGCGGCCGGGAGCCGCTATCTAATAGCGGGAGACTCCCCAACTCTCCCGGATGCTCCGGATGTCTGGGGATAGCTCGCAGCTAAAAATCCTGCATGAGCTTCTTTGCCATGTTTATCAAGCTTGCAGCAGCCCAGAGAAAAGAGAGATTAATGGGCTGACGTGCGGGAACTGCAGCAAGACAGAACACACACGAATGCGAACGTGCGTTCATGATCGTCAAGCGTGAACTGGGCCTACAGCTGAAGTTTATGCTTTCATTTTGCCTTCCCTGGCCCCTGCTCACAGAGAAGCTCACAGTGTGCAGTGAAATCAGAGTAAGCAGTTTCAGTCCCGGAGAGGAGCCGATACAACTAAGACTGAAGGGAAGGCCAGAGTTCAGCTTGAAGAAAAACTAAGTCATTGTTCCACCTTTATTATAGTTGAGCATCATCATTATCCTATCAATTGCTTTACCTCTGTATAGAGATTCTCATGAGATTTCTGATGTCTTCTTCCAGGAAGCAATAGATGCAAAGTCCCAGTACAAGAAGAAAGTACGGATTCCGAATCTAGCCTTGCCAAGAAAAATCCTGCGTGAGGACCTGTCTGAACTCCATGCAGTCTTACAAGCTGCTTTTATTCACTGGTATCCAGTGACATAGTCCGACCCAGAGACCCCCTGGAAGCTGGAGAGAGGCGCCAGCCGGGAACACTCCGCACTGCATCATGGGACGGCAGGGCTGCAGTTTATATACAGCTTATTTAAAGAACATTTACATTCTCTTTCACAAAGGTTTTCCATTTAATCATCCTGGATGATCACAAACTGTACTGAACGGGTGACAACCTTACAGGCCAGTGAGTCGTCCCTATCTTCCCTGTGGAGCTGTGAAGTTTACAGGATTGTCCTTGGAAGGATTGTCCCTGTACCTGGCTTTCAAGCACTGATGGACTTTACAAAAAAATGCTTTTTTTCCAGCATCTTGTTACATAAAATTGTATATACGGTATATATCTAATATAGCCTTGTTAGCCAGCAAAAAAGACCATACAAAGCCTGCTTCAAATATGTCTGTAGCAGAGTCATTCATTCTGCGTGACTGACATTTACATTTGTTCTGTGTGAATGGGGTAAAATCTAATGTTTTCTTTTGCAGAATGAATGTAAAATCAGAAAATACCCCATTGTGACCAATAGATGGTGCTGAGGAGCATAGGACGTAGGTATTTATATACTCCTTGGCTCCATCTAGTGGCCATAATCTGGTATTGTCTGACAATTACATTTCTTCTGCACAAGACAACATTCTGTTTTGCCCAATTTGCACAGAATGAATGTAAAAATCATAAAATACTACATTACGGCCACTAGATGGTGCTGAGGAGCAAAGGAAATAAGTATCTATTCCTTATGCTCATTGGCTCCATCTTGTGGCCATGATGTGGTATTGTCCGACAATAACTTCGTCCTGCATAAGAAAACACAAGAAACTTTTGACCTATTCACACAGAATGAATGTAAATGTCAGTTTCACAGAACGAATGGCTCTGCAAAGTTTTTGTAAATACATCCCACAGGTCTCTGTTTGCTATATTTGTATATTTATTAGAAAGCCACACCCCCTACATCAAGGTGCCTGCGCTCTGTATGTACCCCATGGAATTACTCTATAACATCACCAACAGAACACTCATCAGGGCCTAACAATAGGCCGAGCTGACATCCCAAGTGTTAATTTCGATCCAATGTTTTGATTGGACTGTTTGCGTATTAGGCTGCTTGTTCCCTTATTGATCCCATTGTTTGTGAAATAGGATCCCGGGGGTTCCCTATGGTGTGCATAGTCACAAAAGGCCCCTGTGTAAAAATGTTTGTTTTTTTGGGCCCCTTACTCAATACCTGAGTGCAAACACCTACTAAGGATAGAGATATACAGAGATGGAGCGATGGAGCGATGGAGCGATGGAGAGATGGAGCGATGGAGAGATGGAGCGATGGAGAGATGGAGCGATTGAGAGATTGAGAGATGGATAGATGGATAGATAGATAGATAGATAGATAGATAGATAGATAGATAGATCATCTGCAGATCTATAGTTACCGAGATCCGAGGGCCACTGCTCCACTGTGCTGCAAATCTCCCTCTCCTGGCTGGGAGATGGCCCCATAGAAGTCTATGTGGCTGTAATGTTCAGGTGCGGCCAGCAGAGGGAGCATTGAATGTAAACCATAGTGGACCGCTCCCCTCGGATCTCAGTAAGCACAGATCTGCTGAGGGGGAGCGTGGGATCGTTTAGGTCACGGCTGGGGGGGCAAAATGGATAAGTGCACTTCGTTTTAAAGGGCATTTACCCTTAGGGTCCAATCTCCAGTGAAGGCATCTGCTACTCTATATGGATGATGTGTTAAGTTTGGAATGTGTTTCAAAGTGTTATTATGAAAAGTGATGATTTGTGTGCTGTATGTAAATTGTATTTAAGGACGGTCGTATGGTTTTGCACTTTCAATGTTATTTTTGTAAAATAAAAAGTAAAACATTTATTCCCAAGTCAATATTGTGAAGCTGATGAGCTTTGAAGGGCCCCCAAACTGAGTGGGCGGAAGGGGTGTCATCCTGAAAATGTGCAACTTTGTGACACTCTCAGATTTTACAATCATGCTTATCGCATTCTACCAGATGTGTAAATTTCGTCTCATTCGGAATGGATATTTGTACGAATCTTGGTTAAAGGAGAACTATGAAGTGAGTGAAAATCCCTCATCCTCATAGTTCGAGCCGACGTGTGACAATGAAACTGTCACACGTCGGCTCTATAGATCGGGAAGTGAGCGAACGCATACCGCCACTCGCTCACCTCTTGATCATCCGCCTGCAGAGAGCCGTGACTGTCAGACACTACTCCCCGCAGAGATTCCCTCCCTCCCCTCTCCAATACTCCAACGCTGACTGGAGGAACAGACGGGGGGTACAGCTGGCTCTGCCTCTGGATAGGCAGAGCTAGCTGTCAATAAGGCAGCTGGGTGGATCTCAAGAGTAATGTCGGGATCCGTCCCGGTTGCGGCGGTCTCAGTATACCGGCAAGCTGTAGCTCACTATATATTGAGCTTTGGGTGACGGGAGGACGCCAGTATATATCCTCCTGTGACCCTTAGGAGAACTATGGGGGAAAAACACTTACCACGTAGTTCTCCTTTAAAGTGAGACCTTCGGATGCATTTGAATTTCTGAATTTGAATCCGGATGGTCATGTAACGAAATGTCAGATCCGTCCGAATTTCTTTCTAAACTGAAATAAACCCGACATGTGACTGTTCTCTGGCCAATCAAATTTTTTTTGGCTCTTGGGGGTGGCATTAGAGACACGTTAATGTGACTTCCTGTTGTGGATCGTCCCGAAACGAAAATTTGGTTGGATACAACAACAAACTGAATGTCGGATCCAAAATCCGAGTCACAAACCAAAACAGATTATGGACCCGAAATCTGAAAAACATAAGAAATAGAAATCCGAATCAATAGAAAACAAAACTAATTTTTTTCGGGGCTACATGTGTACATTCTACATGGCACGCCTACTGAACGCAATGCAGTTTCCTTGTGTTGCATTAACGCACGTTCCCGCAATGCATAGATGTCAGTAGGCCCTTAAATAAGAACTCCGGGCAGAAGAAGACTTAAGAAGAAGACTTAACTCTCGCAGTGGGGCTACCCCCCCCCCCCAATACTGCAAGGGTTAACTGTTATTTTAGTCCCTAGACCAAAATGAGTAAAGTTATACTTACCCAAACCTCAGAGCCACCTGCCTGCTAGACCAGTCCCTGCAGCCTCTATCCCTGCTCCACTTCACCGTTTCTAAGAACCACCTGTGAGTCATAGGATGTGAGGACACCAAGGGACATTCCATCTCATGGAGACAAGCTGCAGGGACCGATCTAACAGCCAGGCGGGTGGGAGGTTGGAGTGAGTATTTCTTTGTTATTTTAGACCCTATATCAGGGGTGGTGAATAAAATCCCATGATGCATCTCTCTCTGGGAGTCGTGGCTGCGGGAATCTTTCGATGCCCCCATGGGAATTGTAGTTCCACTACAGCTGGTGGGCCAGAGGTTTGCCACCCCTGGACGAAGGAGAGCACTTAACCCTTTCAGTCCTGGGCTAGTGAATGGTATGTGGAGAGATAAAAGGTAAAACAATAATCCCCTTCCATCTATGAAAACTAATCCCTCCCTATCACACACAACAGATAACAAATGTTCATACACGGCTGTGACAACATTCTTATAAACAACAGTTGGGTGTTACCATGTTTACAATGCAGAGATAGACATGTCAGGATGGCCGAGCGGTCTAAGGCGCTGCGTTCAGGTCGCAGTCTCCTCTGGAGGCGTGGGTTCGAATCCCACTTCTGACAGCTATGTTTTTTTTGGGTTTAATTAAAAACTGTTTTAACTTTATAGAAAACATTCTTCCACGTGCACTTTACAATGCGGTACATATGCATCGCCCCACAAATTAGTACTTATCCTAAAGATTTTATTTGTAGCAATTACAGCTATTTGCAGATAAACTGGTTCAGAAAGGTGTCTGGAATAAAAAGTTAATACGAAAGTTTGCCGCCCCGGGGGTTTCACAAAGGCTTGTTGAGTAGAAGCTTTATTATCAACAAATCAATGACAATAATTGTTGATGTAATCATTAAAAGGCTTTGCCGAAACCCGGGATCGAACCAGGGACCTTTAGATCTTCAGTCTAACGCTCTCCCAACTGAGCTATTTCGGCGGTGTATAGCATACCCCCAATTTCCTTCCATAAGTAGCAATGTGACCACAGTGTGAATGAACTTGTACAGTGTCATTATTTTGTCATTTTTGATTTCTTGTTTTTTTTTTTGTTTTGTTTTTTTCATTCTTTATTTATAAAAATAGCAGACAAAGGGTCAAAGACACAGCATGAGTAAACATCAATGTGTAGTCAAATAAAATGGAGCAATGGTATCCGAGCAGGGTTGCCACCTTTTCTTCAAGCGAAACCCGAACACTAGCGGCATGCAAACATGTATTTGGGAACATTGAGTCGCGGCCTAATCATATGTAAATAGCGCCACCCATTCATATGTAAATATCACAGTTGAGACTATTTTCAGTGGGGGGCCAGTAGCCCCTATCTTAATTTTGGTTGCCCCCGTCTCCCTGACATCTTGTGTCGGAGTTTCTGCTGCCATGAAACCCGGACACAGCATTCTGGGTGACACCTGGACAGGTGGCCACCCTATATCCGAGCCCCGTGAGCAGTAGCCTATCAGGAAGTCTAGCGGCAGACACTCCATTAAATAAAGGAATACGTCCCCGTTCACACTAGCCGAAGCGCCCGTTGTGCTGACGCACATTCGCCGATGTTTGTTTCCCGCATTTGACATGCATCCTTATTAAAGTGCCTCATGCAACAAAATCTGCTACACGCGCCGAGCGTTCTTTTCCTGTGCAACGGAGTGCGTTTTAGGGCACACCAATTCACACCAGCCGCTGCACTAAACACACATCGACTGGCGGAGGGTTGCCACCTTTTCTTCAAGCGAAACCCAAACACTCTAGCGACAC